GGGAAAGAGCTGTCTTTATCTTCAGCACGTCGTCGTCATGTACCCCCAGCCCACCTGAAACTCTTCGCTGGCCCCAAGTTTTTGGTGGGGTGGAAGAGCGCAACCAGTCCAAGCCTGTCCCTGGTGCTCCCCTGGGTGTTTTGACTTCAACCTAGTCCTTGTGGGATTTTTTTTTTTATGGTCTCAGATGCAATGCCTGGAAGGGAAGAAGCACTGGGGAGGAGATCTGAGAGCTGGGTTCACCTCAGCTGGTCCCAGTGTGTTGCTTCCTTGATTTTTATTTTTTTTTTTCCAGGTAGCTCTTTCTGGCACACCACCTCCCAAATGTTTATGTGCTCCAGAGGGTAGAATTAGGCCTTTCTGCTCCCCTCCAGCACCTACCTAACGCTCACACCTGCATAGCACATATGTCTTGGGCTGCTCCAGTCTGTCAGCAGTGTGTAATTGTATGCAAATCCTCATCAGCCCTGTGCATGGCTTAATTACTGGTGAGCACGTAGCAGAAGGGCCCTCCTGCACTGCAGACAGCTGTCTGGCTGCTCAACAACCAAGACTAAAGGATTCAGACTTCTAGTCCTTGGGTTTAGAGTGGGTAAGAGTGTTTTGGATAAGGGCTAATCTGTTGGGAAGCCTGTCTTCACTGAGCCCTGCTCCTTCGGGATTTTTGCCTGCGGTCTGACCGGCTTCTCCCAGATGCCTTTCACTTGCTGAGCCCAGACGAGGCATGGCACTCGGTGCAGCGGGTGGCTGGGTGCTCTCTGCCTTTCCCTCTCCCAAGCTATTGCACAGGCTGATTTAGCTGCCATCCAGAATTAAGAGCATCAAAGAAGGGGGGAAGGTGATCCAGCGGAATGCAGCGGGGAGCTGTTCTGCAGGGACTAGCCCAGGCCTGAAGAGGAGCTGGGTTTGGCAGCTGAGGCTGGCAGGGGTTGGGAGCGGTGAGGGCGGCGTGAGTCACATGCCTCTCACGGCAAAACCGGGACAGAAACCCTGGTCATCCCCGGCGTGAAGCCACAGCTCACCCGGGGGTTCCCAGCATCCATGCAGGCAGCCTCCTGTCCTGCTCCTCATCTTCCATCATGCCAAGCAGCAGCAGAATTAAACTCCAGTGCTGCTTGGAGTTGCTGCCTTTGCTTTTGGCCTGGGCAAGAGAGGACTTGTGCTAAGGGCTTGCTTTCTGTACCTGCCTGCTCCCAGCTGCTGTGGGAACCCCCAGCCGCAGCTGCCTGGCACCCAGCTCTTGCAGGAGAAGGGCTGATCCCAGCTCAAGCAGGAGAAGTTACCCCAGGGAAGCCCTGCCCTGCCTTTAGCTGGGTGTGCAGCTTGCAGCAGCGCCTGGCCCCCATGCTGGAGGAGCGATGAAGGTGCAGGGTCTGGTGGTACATGGTGGGGCTGGACCAGAGGCTCCCAGAAAACCTCCCAACCTAAGTTGTTTCAAGGGCGAAGCCTGGAAGTACGGGTTTTGTTCCCAAGTTGGCAGCTTGTCTGCAATGTGGGCAGGGCTACTTTCATCCTTCTAGACGCCTAAAAGCCTTAACTCAGTGGGTGGGTTGATGTGAGCGGCCTTGCTTGGTGGTGTTAATGCACTAGGAACCCGGTGCTATTTTTCTGCAATAGAGCTTATCCCTTAGGCCCTTGGTGAAGGATGGGATAGCTCTATCTGGGTGCCTTCAGATGAGAAGTAATGCTGTTTGGAGCTCTAACATTCAGTGTTTGGGGTTCTCAAGGACTGGACTCTGGGTGGCTCTAACCACTGAGAGTATGCTCTCATTTCTGGTTGGGAGCCAGAAGCCACAGTCAAGGACCGGGAGCCATGGTCAGGCAAGCTGAGGAGCTCCAGGGAGCACCAGGGGTGAGGTATCTTCACCGGGTGGGCACCAGCTGCAGCTGCAAGAGGCTGCCCAGAATACAAAGTCTTTCAAGCAGTTCGGTCAGGAGCAGGAAGCCAAAGTACGAGAATCTCCCTTTCAGAGAGGTTTCTGCACCCCGCAACGTGAGGTTTTCCAGCTTGCTCAGGAAAGCTCTGGATCTGGTCAAGCCACATGTGTTACCGTAGCTTGTTCAAGTGTCTTCTAGTTGCAAAATAGCGTTGCTTCCTTGGGCCGCTCTTTGTGGCTGTTGCACCGAGGGGTGCTGAAGATGAGCTGTCTCATCAGTGCTTCAGCGGGCAGCGTCTGTTCAGCAGCCCACCATCAGGCACCAGACGGGCTTCTCTTCCCCCCTGGAAGAGTCTGGTTGAAACTTCACAGCTTTGATCTTGTTGTGCGCTTCAGGTGGTTCCAGATATTGACAGTCTCTTCTCTGGAGTGGCTGGTTATAGTCCTATTTTATGTATGGCTAAAGCAGACATAGATGTGCTAGGATTCATTAGGGTTCTGCGAACAGACCTAAAAGTTCTTCAGGAACCAGGGTTGCACCTTCATCTCAGTGCAGGTGGTAGGACAGGACACCACTTCAGAAATCCCAGTAGGCAGGTAGGAGCTGGAACTGGAGACTGCAAGTGTCTTAGGAGGGCCTGGCTGACAGGCGGTGGTCCGGGCCTGGCAGGTTGCAGACCAATCTCATTCCTTTTGTGGATTGCCCTCAGAAGAAGTGAGGCAGCCGGGACCCCTTGTCAAACGGTGCTGGTCAGTGATGTGGCCATCTCAGGAGCTGGAAGGGCCACTGGTTAGCTTTGTGCTGTAATCAGAATATCACAAGGACTCGACTCCGGCCAATCTTCAAGTCCACGCTGAAGGTTGGAGGTAGGTTGGGAGCAAAAGGAGGTGCTAAAAGCTTGACACCACAGCTCTTCTCCTGAAATCATGTGTGGATCATGGATTAACGTAGGCCTGCATCTTTGTTCCAGGAGGTTGGCTGCAGGAGAATCATGACAGATCTTCCATGTGCTAAGATACATCACCTCTGATCTGATCTGATCTTTGGAGCAGGCAAAAACTAGATCGTATAACTTCTCTCAGGTAGAGCTGTTACTTTGGAGTTGGTGTTTTCGCTTGCTGACTTGGTGCTGGTAATCTGGGTGGCCGATAGGAACTGGCTGGTCATGGCGGGCAGGATGTCCATATAGGAGTTCATGATGTGTTCTCTGCCTGCTAGCTGAACTTCTTGCATCTGAAAGTAATGTCGGGGTTACAGTTTCATTAGAGTGAATGTAGGTCTTGAGAAGGAATTGCTGGGTTTGGAGTCGATTCAGTTGCTTTACCCCCATAGTTATTAAAGGTGCATTTGTTCTAGAAGTACCTGGACTGGAAGATGTGGCTTTTCAGATACTGCAGGCTTTTCCTTATGACAAAGAGTTTGTTGCCCATCTCAGTTCTGCTTCTGTGGCATAAGCTTAGGCGAGCAGAACGTGCAGTTATTCTGAAGACCCGCTCCGGTTGCGTAGCTGGACGCCACCGAAGTCCACAGAGGTAAGCTTTTTGCTCTATTTGGACACATCAGCTCAGGTTTGGATGCTGTGATCTCTTCAGCTGGTCATAGCAAAGCTGGATTAAACTTGGTGATGTGCTATGGATCGTGGGCAAGTGTGAACACCACCTCTGAGAAGGCTTCAGGCAGCATCATACTGATGAACTGTTGAGACTGCGTCTCCTCTGATGGAGGAGTGCCACCCCTGAACCTGTTTTAAATGACAGAATAGCTGAGGAGGTTTGGTCTGGTCAGGTCCAGATGTCTCAGGACTGATGTATAAGCTTTCCTCTCCCACATCATTCAGGTACCCCACACCCAGTTACAGAGGGGTTGGGGCTCCAGAGACATCACAGCTGAGTCAACTGACAAAATTGCTTACAGGTTCTTAAAGATGCTGATTAAGTGCTGGAACAGATCTCATGCCTTTTGGTGTCTGAGGGCTTCCACGGAAGCATTTTCCTAAGCCAGCAGAGATGGGGACTCCAAAACAGATGAGCGCGTGGTGCTTGCTGAAGGCTTTGGCAGGCATCTGGGTTGAGTTTGCAGGAGCTGGCAGCAATGACTCATTGCTGGAGAGAGACCTGAGGGGTGGGGATGACGGGAGCTGAAGGAAAGGATGAGTTTTACAGAGCAGCCCTGGCTAAGTGCTGGCCTCATCCTTCTCGCTGGCAGCGTGGCTGGGTAAGGAGTTGCAGACCAGGTTTCCCTTCTGGACTACAGTCCAGTCCACTGCTACAGACCTTTCCAGCCTGAGCGGTACTTCCATATCGCTTCTTGGCTCCACCAGGAGCCGTAAAGGTAAGCAAAGCCACCCAAGAACCAGCTTCCCCAAGTAACTGCTGCCTGCCCCAGTGAGCTGCAGGCTTAGGTACCCGAGGGGCAGGGCTCTGGGGTGGGGCCGGGCCGAGTGGCCTTGAGGACACCAGAGTGGACCAGGCTCCTAATGGGGTGGTTGGAAGCAGGGGCTTGTGGTATTGCACCCCGTCTATCTACAGGTACCTCTAGGGACCTCATACCAGTTTTGGAGCAAGGATGGAAGTTTCTTACAGTTAGGCTTTCGCTGTGTCTTGGTAAGAGCCTGGTTTACTGTGGGGAAGAATAGGGATAAATAAGCCAGGCTTTAGTGACGCCAATCGCTCGGACTTGTGCCTTTGTGTGTGCCTTCAAAGCCGTCTCCATCCCCATCTTGGGTTCCTTTGTGACTGCTGCCAGTGAGCAGGGGTGCTCGTGGGGTGGGACCAGCCGCTGTGTCTCCTAGTGAGATTTGGACCAGTGTTTCAGCTCTGGTTTGCTTATCTCCCACGCTGCCTGGTGCCCGTGTCCTGTTAGGTGAGCACAATTGCCTTGCTACCAGGAGGACGCTGGTGCACGCCCCGTGGGCTTCCTCGGCCACTGAGGTTGTAGGATTTGGGAGGGGTTCAGACCTGCCTCTTTCAGCTGCCGGGCT